CCACCATATAATACAAAACACGTGCATCCCAATAAACACATAAACTAAGAACTGTTCATGCAAACAAACATGAATAAATATATAAAGTCCCGTGAGGTGTAAAACACCTGACATTATACAAAAAACCATATATAAAGTCCACAGCAATTCTTGAAGAAGGAAAAAAAAAAAAAAAGTGCTGATAAATGTGCAGAGATATCCAAGAGTGGCTGAATTGCCCGCTCACCTCCCTCTTGCGACACGCACAGGGTCAAAAGGCCTTCAGGATCACTAACACATGGACCCTTAATAGTAGGTAATCCTCCACAGCTCTCCACACTGACCTCCCCTCTTGTACAGATTCCAGCACAGGCTCACAGGCAGCAGATCTCCTCTTCAGGCACATAAGGTGGCTGCAGCCACTTGATCCTGAAAACATACACTTGTTTTCTTTAGAAAACCCTTTGCATAGTACCATAGAGGACCCATGTTTGTTTTCAGGATCATGTGTATGTTTTCAGGATCAAGTGGCTGCAGCCACCTTATGTGCCTGAAGAGGAGATCTGCTGCCCTGTGAGCCTGTGCTGGAATCTGTACAAGAGGGGAGGTCAGTGTGGAGAGCTGTGGAGGATTACCTACTATTAAGGGTCCATGTGTTAGTGATCCTAAAGGCCTTTTGACCCTGTGTGGGTCGCAAGAGGGAGGTGAGCGGGCAATTCAACCACTTTTGGATATCTCTGCACATTTATCAGCACTTTTTTTTTTTCCTTCTTCAAGAATTGCTGTGGACTTTATATATGGTTTTTTGTATATTGTCAGGTGTTTTACACCTCACGGGACTTTATATATTTATTCATATTTGTTTGCAAGATCAGTTCTTAGTTTATGCGTTTATTGGGATGCACGTGTGTTTTGTGTTATATGGTGGGAACTGATTTTTAGTTCCGGTGGGAGGGTTTTTTTTTAGCACATTGAGTCCTGTTGTGACTTACTTGTTTGATTTGGAGCACTATTGGATCCCATTGGATTACTTGGGGCACCATTTATGTTATTTGGTCCTTTTAGGACCTTGTATTGACACCTGTCACATGTGATTTTTATGAGTTTTTTGGCACTATTTAATATTGTGTATTTGTGTCACTAATTTTGCACGGTTTCACTTATTCATTTATGTGTGAAGAATTTTTATGGTAGTAGCGCTGCATCATTTGTGTTTCATATACAAAAGAATTAACGTGTCCTAAATAGTCACAAAGGTGAAATATCCAATTCATAGAAAATGTCTAGAACCATCCAAATGGTGGAGGTGTTCTGTAGTCCTGTAATCACCATTAATGTGCAACAGGATACTATAAATCCCACTCTAGGTGCAATGGCCCCTCACCTCCATGCGGTGACCCTGCAGGGTCAAAACGCTTTATGATAATCAAAACACCACCGGTCTGGAACCTGGACTCTCCAACGGATGTCAGGTCCACCGCTGTGTCAGTTCCCTCACTGGTGGGCAAAATCCCGCATGTAGCCTCCTCAAAGTGGTCCTAGAGGTGATAGCTCCAGAGCTCCATGCTGGCAAGAAATACACCAGCTATAATCGCTTGTGATCTGAGAGCAATCCTCAGTGGCAACAGACTTCAGCTCAAGTTGAGCAAGGTGTATGTACATATTATAAGTATTTGTTTACACAATATTGCGCTGCATATTTTGTATCTTATAATTTATGTGGGAACACTATACATGTTAGCTGTGATATTTTTTAATATTTTTTGAGTATATTGCACTCAAAAAAGGCATATTGCACTGTAAGTTTTTCAGAATATACTTTAGGTAGAATGTCTCAATCTGTTTTTGATGCCCACATTTTTGGGTATAATCACACCTATGCTATGCTTTAACAATCATGTGGCTTAGATACATTTTAAAAACAGCTAGAATATAGAAAAACTACACTTTGTCAGGTTGACAACATGATATATATATGTGTACATATAGAATATAAATGTCATAAAGTACAATGAGACATGAATTTATCTGGACCAATTTTTTTTTTTTTTCAATGGAGTAGGAAATGGTTAGATTATTGTAAAAAAAAAATGCTTTAGACCTTGATAGGTGTATAACCATTGCACGCGCTATCAAAAAAAGTTTTGGCCTACTAATAATTTTCATTATATGTTAATGCGTAGCCACTCTGTGACACCTAATAGTACCTACCTTTAGAGCGTAGACTTATACAGTCTTCTACATTATAGCATATTTTTTTCACTGCACTTAGTTGCTAAAATGGTGACTATAGCTAGTGTGCAAGGGCGGACTGACAACTCATGGGGCACCCGGGCAATAGGGGATCATGGGGCCCCTGTGTTCTTGCCCAAACTCAAAAAAACCTATGAAAAAGATACCAGGGGCATCTCATGGGGCCCCCTACTGACCCCGAGCCCTCAGGCAGTGCCCGAGTTTCCAAATGGTCAGTCCGCCCCTGCTAGTGTGACTACATTTGCACAAAGTTATATCTACTGAATTGTATCTTGTTGATGTATACGAATATGCCCAGCCAGACCTGGCAAAATTTTTGAACTCCACTGAAAGCTTTTTGCTTCTACAAGTTCACTTGAATAGGCAAACCATGTACTGCTCTGAATATTTTACTGCAACTGGAGAGTGTAAAATCTGGTGCAGCTGTGCATGAAAATCAAATCAGCTTCCAGTTATTTTTTTTGTCAAAGCTTAATTGAACAAGTTGAAGTTAGATGCTGATTGGCTACTATGCAAAACTATCAGATTTTGCACTCTCCAGTTTTAGTAATTCTGCAGCTAGAGTTAGCACTCATAATTTGCAGTCCTTACCTTCGTTTTGCACAAGGGACCTTATCTACAAGGGGTGCCGATGTTCTTCCTGTGTCTGTATGTTTGCTTCCTGTGATTTTTTCTTTTAACATAATACACTTCTGTGTTGTGCATGATTGTGGTATTTTAAGTTTCTTTGAGAATTTGTCAGTGCTATATAAATGAATAAAATGAATGCTGTTGAGACAACGTTCTAGTGACCCATTTCCTGGTCCCCAGTCAAACTTAGTTATGTTCTAATGTAAGGGCTCATCTAGTTTACGTTCACCTTGCAGCACTACAACGTGTCAGTATCTGCAGGGTTGAAGTCCTGTTTTAAGAACTTCTGTGTTTAATATCTAGTGGTGGGCTGATGAGAGCTAATCTGAAATTAAGGTTGATGGGTTAGTACTATATCCCCTGATTAGTCGCAGCTTTGTGCTCTGTGCGTATGCAGGACACAGCTGGTCTAACAGAACCCAGCTCTGTCTCTCCCTGTACCTCATCCAACAGACACCCGGGATCTCTCTGTGCAGCTGACTCGTTCCTGTTATTTCACACTCTAGGGACACTGCTCCACTCTACTGGGGTTAGATGTCCTTGAAAGCTTGTGCAATGTTCACACAGTAGAAACAGAGAATTGTAAAGGCTTCTAGACCTAGCAAAATGTAGGTTGAATACAGCCTTTTTATATGTCTAAAATGATCAAAGACTGGGTTGAAAGATCAAAGATTGGGATGAAATAATTCATATAAAATAAATTTGGTGGTTACTCAACTGGTTTTTGATATATATATATATATATATGTGTGTGTGTGTTTACAGAGAGAATATAGAGAAATATACTATTTTGCTTTACTTTCATATTACTTTCTAATTTGGCAGAATAATTAAATATCCAACTTTATGTGGAAGTTTAGCTATTTTTATCACTATGTTTTAGTTGAGTTTATGGTTGACACAATACAGCAATATTTCTGAACCTTTACACTTATTCAGTGGATATACACATTCCATTGTATTCACCAGAGTCCATGAAATCACCTGCAGTCCACTGCTATCAAAGTGTGCCTAGATTTGCTGTTAGACTCTACCAATAATACCTGTTGCAGCATGTTAGATTGGAAATATTTTATAATATTGTCTTCAGAACTACTTGGCATATTGAAGTGTGTTGTGGCCAAGTAGCTTAGCTTGTATAATGGTGAACAACTCCTTTATAGTAGATCAACAGTACTTGGCAACATAAATAAAACCAGTTACACAATGTTTTGGTTTTTCATGTGTTTTTAATACTATTTATTTACGTTGATTTTCTGCAGTTGTATTTACCTTTCAGAACTTGCGTATCTTGGAATTGTTATTTTACTTGTTCTTTGTTGTGGTGGGATTTGGCATAAAATACTTTAGCTGGCTGCAGGTTTAGATAGTTCTAGCACCTGTGCTATCTGTTATAACCCCTTTTAAATATATGCTACATAGCTAAATGCCATCTACAGTAAGTAGGTTTGTCATATATTTTGGTACATAGGATTTGTTGGCTCGAGTAACCCTTTTATCAAACACAAAAGGTAGTTAAAAGCCTCGGTTGCCATTTCCTTTCTATATTTGGTTGTGCTTATAATCCAGCTATCACATACAACATTATTTTTTTTCTTCTGTACCTAAGAGGATGAAGAAGTTCATACACATTACAGGCTGATATTCTAGTTAAGCCTACTCCATGAGCTATTCATCCTGTTCTTGATGATAGACTAAGCTAGCTGCGCACCTGCAGAGTATGGAGATGGTATTTCAGGATCTGTGATATTCCTTGGACACCTGGATCCAGTTTCACTTACAGAAAGGAAGCGCTATGTAACTAACAAGTTAATTCATAAAATGCTCTAATGATACCAGTAGCTTGCCTTTCCTAATGATCTGTATGCTTTTGTGATCACGGCACTAACAACTTAGTACAGTGATACCATGTAGAAGTAAACTTTAGTGATACAATTTATAGCTGGTAATTTATTTTTAGGCACATTTAGTTGGTAAGCTGCCTTTAATCCAATGTCCTTGTTTGTGGAATGATCTGTTCACTGCTAAAAAAGGATGTAGCATGGTAAAAAAAAACCTAGGTTTTGTTAAAGTGCTGTGGCCTTATTACACAGATGCACAGGGAATTGTTTTTAATCTCCATTCTGCTTTCCCATTACAGATGGTGATGACGACCCACAATTCTCCTGGGTGGCTTCATCTCCCTCCAGCAAAGACGTTGCATCACCCACTCAGATGATAGGAGATGGGTGTGATCTCGGCATAGGAGAAGAGGAAGGGGGATCTGGGTTGCCGTATCCCTGTCAGTTCTGTGAAAAGTCTTTCAGTCGTCTCAGCTACCTGAAAAGGCACGAGCAGATCCACAGTGACAAACTTCCATTCAAATGCACGTACTGCAGCCGACTGTTTAAGCACAAGAGGAGCAGGGATCGCCACATTAAACTCCACACTGGGGACAAAAAGTATCACTGCCACGAATGTGAGGCTGCATTTTCTCGTAGTGATCATCTTAAAATTCATCTGAAAACACACAGTTCTAGCAAGCCATTTAAATGTACAGTGTGTAAGCGCGGATTTTCTTCCACTAGCTCTCTGCAGAGTCACATGCAGGCTCATAAGAAAAACAAGGAGCATTTGGCTAAATCAGACAAGGACATGAAGAAAGACGACTTCATGTGTGATTATTGTGAGGAGACTTTCAGCCAGACAGAGGAGCTGGAAAAGCATGTGATGAAGCGACATCCTCAGCTTTCAGAGAAAGCAGACCTCCAGTGTATCCATTGCCCTGAAGTATTTGTGGATGAAACCTCACTGCTGAACCACATTGACCAAGTCCATGCCAACAAGAAGCACAAGTGTCCAATGTGCCCAGAGCAGTTTTTTTCTTCTGTGGAAGACGTTTACTGCCACCTTGATAGTCATAGACAGCCTGATTCAAGCAATCATAGCATTAGTCCAGATCCAGTTTTGGGAAGTGTGGCTTCGATGAGCAGTGCCACACCAGACTCCAGTGCATCAGTTGAACGTAGTTCAACTCCTGACTCAACGCTTAAGCCACTAAGAGCACATAAGAAAACCTTATCATTAGAAAGAGAGGAGGGCCAGACTTGGTCCAAGGTTAGCTACAGCTGTCCTTACTGCACAAAAAGAGATTTCAACAGCTTGGCTGTCTTGGAGATCCACTTAAAAACTATTCACGTGGACAAACCTCAACAAAGCCACACCTGTCAAATCTGTCTGGATTCTTTGCCCACCCTGTATAACCTTAATGAGCATGTAAGAAAGGTTCACAAAAACCATGCCTACCCTATGGTACAGTTTAGCAACATAACTGCTTTTCATTGCAACTATTGTCCTGAAATGTTTGCTGACATTAACAGCCTTCAAGAACACATTCGCATCACTCACTGTGGACCCAATGCTACTCCTCATGAAGGCAACAATGCTTTCTTCTGTAACCAGTGTTCCATGGGATTTCTTACTGAGTCCTCACTGACTGATCATATTCAGCAAGCCCATTGCAATGTTGGAAGCTCAAAGCTTGAATCCCCTGTTATTCAGCCAAGTCAGTCATTCATGGAAGTGTATTCGTGCCCGTATTGCACAAACTCTCCCATATTTGGTTCTGTATTGAAGCTCACGAAGCATATAAAAGAAAACCACAAGAACATTCCATTGGCAAATAATAAGAAATCAAAATCAGAGCAGAGTCCGGTTTCTTCAGATGTTGAAGTTTCTTCCCCAAAGAGGCAGCGGCTGTGTCCTAGCCTAAACTCAGTGTCAAGTGGAGAGTATCCTTGTAATCAGTGTGACTTAAAGTTTTCTAATTTTGAAACTTTTCAAACACATTTGAAATCACATTTGGAGCTTCTTTTAAGAAAACAGTCCTGCCCTCAATGCAAGGAGGACTTTGACTCCCAAGAGTCTCTCCTACAGCACCTCACAGTACACTACATGACAACCTCCACACATTACGTGTGTGAGAGCTGTGACAAGCAGTTCTCATCTGTAGATGATCTGCAAAGCACTTACTGGACATGCATACTTTTGTGTTATATCACTGCACTCTTTGCCAAGAAGTCTTTGATTCTAAGGTTTCCATCCAAGTGCATTTGGCAGTAAAGCATAGCAATGAGAAGAAAATGTATCGCTGTACAGCATGTAACTGGGACTTCAGAAAAGAGGCAGACCTTCAGCTTCATGTCAAGCACAGCCATTTGGGCAACCCAGCAAAGTCACATAAGTGTATCTTCTGTGGCGAAACCTTCAGTACGGAAGTGGAGCTTCAGTGTCATATTACTACTCACAGTAAGAAATATAATTGTAAATTTTGCAGCAAGGCATTCCATGCAATCATTCTCCTTGAAAAGCACCTGCGAGAGAAGCACTGTGTATTTGACACTAGCAGCCAAAATGGTACAGCTAATGGTATGGTACCAGCAGGCAAGAAGTCGGAGACTGTTGAAGTCCCAAGTGTGCTAATGAAGAACCCGGAAATTTCAAACAGTCATGAGGCCAGTGAAGATGATGTTGATGCTTCTGAACCAATGTATGGCTGTGATATTTGTGGAGCAGCTTACACAATGGAAGTTCTCCTACAGAATCATCGATTAAGAGATCATAATATCAGACCTGGAGAAGATGATGGTTCTAGGAAGAAAGCAGAATTCATCAAAGGCAGCCACAAGTGTAATATTTGCTCAAGAACATTTTTTTCTGAAAATGGACTTAGAGAACACATGCAGACACACAGGGGTCCTGCAAAACACTATATGTGCCCTATTTGTGGGGAACGGTTCCCATCTTTGCTCACGCTAACTGAACACAAAGTTACCCATAGCAAAAGTTTAGATACAGGGACATGCAGAATCTGTAAACTGCCCCTTCAAAGTGAAGAAGAATTTATTGAACACTGTCAGATGCATCCAGACCTTCGGAATTCCCTGACTGGTTTCCGTTGTGTTGTCTGTATGCAGACTGTCACATCCACTCTGGAACTTAAAATTCATGGAACATTCCATATGCAAAAAATAGCAGGAAACTCTGCTGCCTCCTCTCCTAATGGACAAATACTGCAGAAGATTTATAAATGTGCCCTATGCTTGAAAGAGTTCAGAAACAAACAGGATCTGGTAAAGTTAGATGTTAATGGCTTACCTTATGGTCTCTGTGCTGTGTGCTTGAGCAGAACCACTAATGGACAACCTTCCAACCCACCCCCACAAGAAGTCTGTGAGAGGCTGTGTCTGAGATGCCCAGAGTGCAGTGTCAAGTTTGAGAGTGCTGAAGATCTGGAAAGTCATATCCAGATTGACCATAGAGACTTGACACATGAAATTAGTGGTCAGAGAAAAGTAGCTCAAACTTCTCCACTCCCAAGAGTAAGTACTTGTTTTATGTCCATTTTTGCAGTGATGATTTTTGTATTTTGATCTTACTTTAGCAGATGGATTACAAAAGAAAAAAACTAGGGTGCCATGTGGTGCTTACACCATAATAATTACTACAGTGAGAAAGGGTTAGAACCTTTGGCAGTTGTTTTCCCTGTTGGGAAGATTAGATTTACTTCTGGCCCAGTGACAGTAAAACACGAAATTTGAAAGTTGTTACCAGAACAGGGACAGTCTGAGTTTACGATTATTCCCACTGCCTGGTGCATCTTCAGGATAAAAAGTGATGGGACATTTCCACATCAAGAACACGAATGAGAGCAGTAAAACCTGCAACGGATATTATTATTTTGCCCAGAAAAAAAAAAAATATAAAAAAGATGGTTATAGTTGCACTTAAATGATATCTTTGTCAGGTTGCTATAGGATACATTATTTGTGAGGTGAGCAAATAATTTGTAGGACAGAGGTTTGTCCTGTCAACTACTGTGGTCCAGTTCAATAAGCTTGGATCTGCCAATTTTTTTTTTCGTCATAATAACTTTTGTTATGAAACGAAAAAAAAAAGGCACGGCATTCCATTGATATCAATGCATTTGTAACCAAACTAGCATCCTAGGCATACAAGCTAATACTCCCATAGCAAGAGAGCTGCAGGCATGCAGACTCCTTGCTAGTTTTTGTTTGTTATTGCATATGTCCCATAACACTGGATGCAGCTTTCAAGGAAGAAACCAAAAAAACTAGAAACATGAGCCTTGTGCTTACTGTCGCAGTCTTTTTTTTTATCACAAGCCAGGTTCTGAAAAAGGGGTGCTTCTGTTGACATTATCTGTCCATTATTTAGACTGGTAGGACTCTGCCCTACTCCAACGACCTAGTTGATGGGTTACATGTTTACAAAAAGATTACAAAAATTTAAAATAATCCATAGAGTTGTCTGTTTTCTCTTTGTTGTGCTGGGTCTCCATGTACACTGACCATATACACTAAAACATCCAACCTACATTTAAAGTTTAGAGACAAATTAATCTCAAAGACATTCATTATAGTAAGTGGAGCATGGCATTGTGACAGAAGCTCAAACTGAATGCTGTCATTGGATAACTACTTCCATTAAGCAGGAAATATAGCAAGAGCAAAGTATTCAAAGAATGCTTGTGGAAAATGAGCTGTACAAAAAGGGCTGAATACTTACCAGCATGAGGGTGGTGTCTTGAGGGAGAGGCACCTGCACAATTCTGAAGCAAATATGGGCTAGCACAGTGAGGAGATTACCATTTTCTAACCCTCTTAACTACAAAGCTCATGTACCTGCTATGCTAGGCTGGTATTTGGATAGGTGGGATGAAATGTTTAACTGGAAATTTAAAATGAACCCAATAGACTGGGTCTGGCACATTTGCATTGTTTGAGGATATTCTCTGGCTTTTAATCGGTGAGATCCAGGATTGATCTCCTAAATCACTGGTTCAATTTGTTAATCACTGTTTTTGACTTTTATACATGGTTCAAGTAATGCCATGTGTTTAAAATGAAAGTCCATGCACCAGAATAAGGACATCAATGAGTAGTTAAACCCCTGGTACTTGCAACATTTTGTTGCAGTGCCTCCACCACAGCCCATAGGAACTTGCACCCATGGTTGACTGGGCTTTAAAATCTACCATATTTTTCGCTCCATAAGACGCACCTGACCATAAGACGCACCTAGGTTTTAGAGGCAGAAAACAGGAAAAAAAAAATTCTGAACTAATGGACTGCAGACACAGTACAGGAGATGACCAGAGACTGCGGACAGCACAGGGATGACCAGAGACTGCGGACAGCACAGGGATGACCAGAGACTGCGGACAGCACAAAGGATGACCAGAGACTGCGGACAGTACAGATGACTGCTGACCTTTGGGGAGGTGGGGAGCGGGTACCTGAATTTGACAGGTACCCGCTCTTACTTCCGCAGAGTTTTTGTTTGATCTTACCTGTTCCTCGATCCAGCCGTGCGCTGTCTTCCCGGCTTCTGTAATGGCGCTCGGCATGACAGCCGGGTGCCCAGTGCGCATGAGCGAGAAGCACTTGCGCTTTGTGATTGGCCTGGCGGCTTCTGGGATCTGTCATGTGTCCCAGGTACCGCCTTACCATTCACAAAAAGCACCGCTTCTTGCGCATGCGCACTTGGCACCCGGCTGTCATGCCCAGTGCCCACACTACAGAAGCCGGAAGACAGCGCGCTGCTGGATAGAGGAACAGGTAAGATCAAAGAACAAAGAAGTAAGAGGGTACCTGTCAAATTCAGGTACCCGCTCCCCACCTCCCCAAAGGTCAGCAGTCATCTCCATAAGGTCCCGCTGCAGAGCTGAGCGGCCGGCCCGGTATTCTGACACGGCCGCGGTGGAAATTCCGGACTGGCCGCTCCATAAGACGCACTGACATTTCCCCCCTCTTTGGGGGGGAAAAAGTGCATCTTATGGAGCGAAAAATACGGTATATACTGTATAGCACAAAGTTTGTCTGCAGAGCAATCATGCAAAAGGTAGGGCACATTGATCAGAGGTAACGAATGCTGCAGATGAAAAAAAAAGTATGTCTTTTTTTTCCAACCTGATTCATGAAGTGAACCAATCTCTTCAATAAAAACATTAAATTACAAGCACCCTTTAAAATGTTCTTTACTCTTTTGAAGATCTATGGGTGCTGCTGGTATCTGACTGTTTGATTGTGTTGTATCCTGGTCCCCCACTGACTTTACTACAGCTCTAAGTTCCATTTCAGCAGACTTTTTAATAGGCTTGAACCAAGCATTGATGTATGTGAACATAGCATTGATGTAGGTGACACATGGAGCAAATGCAATATGTCTATTAACACATGGTAACCATTTAGATCTTTGATAAATCACTTAGCAATAAAGGAATTGTCATCATAAATTGCATATGACAGAGATTATATTCCACTAGAGCAGTGGTGGGCAACCTTTTTTTTCAACTGAGCCAAATCTCGCCAAAACCATGATTGAAATTTATTTTGAGAGCCACATTTTTAAAACTGAAAATACATCTCCCATATAGTAATTCATCCCCCATAGTAATTCATCCCCCATATAGTAATTCATCCCCCATAGTGTAATTCATCCCCCATAGTAATTCATCCCCCATCGTAATTCATCCCCCATAGTGTAATTCATCCCCCATCGTAATACATCCCCCATAGTAATTCATCCCCCATATAGTAATTCATCCCCCATATAGTAATTCATCCCCCATAGTAATTCATCCCCCATATAGTAATTCATCCCCCATATAGTAATTCATCCCCCATAGCAATTCATCCCCCGTATAGTATTTCATCCCTCGTATAGTATTTCATCCCCCGTATAGTATTTCATCCCCCATATAGTATTTCATCCCTCATATAGTATTTCATCCCTCATATAGTATTTCATCCCCCATATAGTAATTCATCCCTCATATAGTATTTCATCCCTCATATAGTATTTCATCCCCCCATATAGTATTTCATCCCCCCATATAGTATTTCATCCCTCATATAGTAATTCATCCCTCATATAGTATTTCATCCCTCATATAGTATTTCATCCCCCCATATAGTATTTCATCCCTCATATAGTATTTCATCCCCCCATATAGTATTTCATCCCTCATATAGTATTTCATCCCCCCATATAGTATTTCATCCCTTATATAGTATTTCATCCCCCCATATAGTAATTCATCCCTCATATAGTATTTCATCCCTCATATAGTATTTCATCCCTCATATAGTAATTCATCCCTCATATAGTATTTCATCCCTCATATAGTATTTCATCCCTCATATAGTATTTCATCCCTCATATAGTAATTCATCCCTCATATAGTAATTCATCCCTCATATAGTATTTCATCCCTCATATAGTATTTCATCCCCCCATATAGTATTTCATCCCTCATATAGTATTTCATCCCCCCATATAGTATTTCATCCCTCATATAGTATTTCATCCCCCCATATAGTATTTCATCCCCCATATAGTATTTCATCCCCCATATAGTATTTCATCCCCCATATAGTATTTCATCCCCCATATAGTAATTCATCCCCCATATAGTATTTCATCCCCCATATAGTAATTCATCCCTCATATAGTATTTCATCCCTCATATAGTAATTCATCCCTCATATAGTAATTCATCCCTCATATAGTAATTCATCCCTCATATAGTATTTCATCCCTCATATAGTATTTCATCCCTCATATAGTAATTCATCCCTCATATAGTATTTCATCCCTCATATAGTATTTCATCCCCCATATAGTAAATTCATCCCTCATATAGTATTTCATCCCTCATATAGTATTTCATCCCCCATATAGTATTTCATCCCCCCATATAGTATTTCATCCCTCATATAGTATTTCATCCCTCATATAGTATTTCATCCCCCACAGTACTATTCCCCCCCCCCCCTTCTAGTAAGCCAAGTCCCCCGTGTCAATTCACTTACCTTTTGCGTTCCTCTCGCTGTCTTCCCACGCCGTTCGGGTCTTCAGGGCGGACTGTGAGAGGAGCCTAGCTCCCCTCCCCTCACGTTCGGCACGCTGCCCCGCCTACACACATCCTGACAGCCACATCCGGATTAAAAGGTCCGCGCGGACTTTTGGGGCTGCCAACCGAGAGGAGGCAGGGGAGCGGCCGACCGAGAGGAGGGAGGGGAGCAGGCGCCCGGCACACAGAAGAGCCGCATTAGAGTGGGTAAAGAGCCGCATGTGGCTCGCGAGCCGCGGCTTGCCGACCACTGCACTAGAGCATACTTATTGTAGAACTATAGGCAAAAGATTGTTTTATCATTTTCGATAGAGGTTATAACCCATGCAAGGTTGATTTTTGCCATTTATGTTCCATTGAAGAGATTAACATTCACTTCCTGTCCAATAACCAAACAGGAAGTGGGAGGAAATCTCTGCAAATTAAGGGAATTCCTTGGGGACT